TTTAGCACCCACAACATTATTAACATAAATTATAAATTATTATGTATATAATATAATAATATATTATAGAGGCTATTGAATATCAAAAAGTTGAAGTTGGTATTTTTATCACTATTTAGTATTTAGTTAAGTGTCCTCTAAATATTTATAAGTAGTCATCATTTAAAACTATTTTTATTCTAGAAGTTAATGGAAATACTGATTGCGAACATAGACTTGAACCACTATAATCATCAGTGTTTAAAGAAAATACCATGGCACCTCCTAAACCTAAAGATGCAGCGAATTCTGCTTTGTACGCCAAACTATTTTCATCATCAAAAGATATCCAGTCATTTTTATGATATGAATATGGCGTGTAGGTGTCTTGGTTAAAAATAGTAGAAGCATCTTGGCGTGATTTAAACTCACACGTTTCTGAAAAAGTTACAAAACCATCCTTGCCAATACCAGGACCAGAAGAAGGTGAACCAAAACCATTATTGGCTTCATTTATTAATCTAAAAAAGAAAAATGATATTAAAATAGTTACAGTTTATTAAAATCATAAAAACTTACTTAAAAGAATGTCCATATGTAGGCATACCAAGCAATATCTTTTCTTTAGGCATACCCTTTGAGATCCAATATTGAATGGAAGAATTAATATTTAAATACTGGAAGTATCCAGAATCATTTCGCGAAGAAAACAAAGGGGAATTGGGACCAGTTAATGGTAAATACCATTGGTATGAATGATAATCATACGCCATAACATTAATAAAGTCAACGAAACTTAAAAAAAAAAAGTATATCATTAGAAAAATGTTTAAGATAATAAAATATTAAAAAAGGCATTATTTACCTTACTAAAGAATACATTTCATAAGAATTATCAATTATATTTAATGGAGCRGCAACAGCTGCAGTTAAAAGAGAGTCAGGTAGATGGTAACGTAAGGTTTCTAATAACTTAGCAAACCCATATTTTTCTTCTAGATTTAATAAAGGCCATGATGGAAATTCCCAGTCTATATCAATACCATCTAGGTAAAATTCTCTGACAACTGATACAACATTATTGACAAATCTAAAAAAAAAATATTTAAATATAATCAATAACTAATCAAARATTAACAATACATTTAAAAATCGTTCTATTCTATTAAAAATTTAAAACCATTGTAGATAACTATTTAACAACTATTAATATTAAAATTAAATTATGGCAATTTAGTTGAAATAATAAGGAGTTCATGTTAGTTATAATAATTCACTTTAGGACAAATTTTACTTTTATATATTTATTTATTAAACACACTAAGCATAGTTAATTAGTTCTACAGTTAATGAGTAATGACTAGTTATGTATAGTAAAATATGTACTTGTCTAAATTATCTTTATTTGCAACAACGCCAGGAAACCCTTCATTTGAATGTGAACCATTTGAGAAATGCATTATAGACAGTAATACCTTTAATTTTGGGTTTTTTTTACGTAACTTCACAACTTGTCTTAAAATCTGAAATTATAAAATTTGATTTTGATTTAATCGCTAACAGATAATCTGATCTTATATTTATAAAATACAATGAAAAAAATATAAATTTACTGATTTTTTACCATGTTCCAATAATAGTAAATATCATATGATATAGTACAGTTGATTATTTGAATTCAAGTTGATCCCAATTAATTCAAAAATCATATCAACACAACTTATTATAGTAGTGCATACCCATCTGTCATTATAATATAATATTTATCTACAGTCACAAAGATGACTTTTTTTTTTTAATATTGAACAACCCATATTATTTAAGTGATAAAGAACATGGTCACAAGGTCAGTAATTCAGACAATATTATAAACTAAATAATAATAGTAAAAAGTATTAATATTATATTATACCACGACATAATTGTTGACTAAATCTGACAAAATCTATTGTGAGTTTTAAGTATTATAATAATGATAATAGGGGGTGTAGTGGCTGAACGGATTAAGGCATCAGTTGCGACGTGCACTGTAGCCGGTTCGAATCCTGGTCATGGGCAGCATCGATTTCTGGGCAGTTCATGCTATCTAGAAGGGGAGGCCGCCGCYTCCTACCCAGGCATGGCAGAAACCTACAGGTGCCCATTCAAAATTCTGCCAAAACATCTACAAGTGCCAAAACCAACAGTTCCCTCCCCGACAGTTCCACAGGCTAGTGACCCTTGWTGTCAAAGCCTTAACCCCCAATAAAAAAAAAATAAAAAATAATGATTACCTGCATATCAAATGAGCTCTTGAAGTAAACACTGTTATTTTGAACTTGTGCAAAAGCTACAATTAAATGAGTACATAAAGAAGCGTTAATTTGAGCAGGGTGAAGAGATTTATTTGTATTATCAGTTGGTATAGAATAATAACAGGCCAAATTATATGTTTTATCAATTCGTTTGCTGAGAATAATTTGTTCTTTAGCAGTCCAGTTGGTTTTAAAATTTGATTTTGCAGCAACAGCAAATGTATGAGCACGATAAGCAGCAATATCCGAATCTGGAATGTATTCGACAAAATTTGTTAAAGAAATTAAAAAATGTGTATACAAACACCAACATTTTATCTAKAAATTAATTACTTGTATATTTCTGGGGACCAAAAAGAACAAAGTCCATTGGTGTATTTTGATCATTGGTGTCTTCAAATTTTATCCAAGATACATAAAACATCAGAACCACAACAAATACCATAAGAGCAGCTAACCCAATTAATACCATGGAATGTATGATTGGCTGAACATATTTCCTACAAATATTAAAATAAAAAATAAATACTGTAACATTTTATTGATGAAAACTTTACTTTTTTCCGTTCAACAGTTCATACTGCGGTTCTGAATGTCCATGAGCCATTTTTTCGCACWATGTACTAAAAGTGTACTAGAAACGAGTACAACTCCCGATTGTTTACTATAATAACAAAACCTCGAATGATCAGGCAAATAGACAAACAAGCGTTTATTTATTGTCAGTCAATGTAAAGCAGAACATTAGAAACATTCGAACTAGTAAAATACATAGTAATTTTTCAAAGGCGGAGACTTCCTTAGCCACTACTCCAATTGATCGAATGCTACGAGAGTTAATAATTATTACAGATTAAAAATTATAATACCTGCATTACTTGCAATATTTAAACAATTAAATCATAATCATGTCATGACGACACTTCGACAGATGGCATAATATCGTCTTTGAATATTGAATAACTTTATAAGTTCTGACTTCTTAGTTATTAAGCTCTATTTGGTAGTTGGTAATTGGTATTTACAATAAATTTACGTTTTAATTTTTATCAACTATAGTGATTAATGATTACCGAATGATATTATGGAATTTACGACATTATTTTGATCATAGGTTGATAACGACTAGCGTAATATCATGGAACAGCCTGCAATATGGTAATATAATTCCAGCCATAATAGACCTTATACCACGACTTCGACCTCGTAACCACGATGATCATGACAATAAAAAGTGGTAAACCATGACATACTCTGACTGATAGTAACTTGTTCTGTGCTGATAGTAAGATTTTAAATAAATAATAAGCAAGATTTTAAGTGATAAAACTGATAACGAGTAACGACAGTCGATTTAATTTAATATTT